TGATCACCTACGTGAAGGGACCTTCGTACCTCTTAATAAAGACTCGAGACTGGAAAATGAAGACTGAACAGCTCCTGCCCATATATGGCAGCCATAATCCATTTGAGTCATATCTAGCTCTTGAAAAAGATAGTCGATAGCAGGAGGAATCAGAAACTGACTCAAGGTAGGCGGTTACAGAGTAAGAGTCATAGTTTATGGGGATATGTGGGAAAGAGAACGGTTGACCCTAGACGTGAACAGGTTAAAATTGTAGTGATTGGGGAAGCATCCTCTTGGGAGTCTGTTCCACATTGTTATAGTTCATGGGAAGAAACTGCTTAAATGGAACTTACGTCTCACTAATATACTACAAATGGAATGATGGTGCTTTACTACAATAGGTGTGGCATGGTAGGTCTTAGCCATGAAAGGTTAGAATTTGTGGAACTAAGGAATGCAGTTCTTCTGAACACTTTCCATGGAAATAGCAATAGAGTAGCAAGAGGCTTGCGATGTTGTCTTCAGGAAAAGGGTTGCATGGTGGAAAATAATTCATCACCCACAAGGACGCCGTGAAATACATTCGATCCATTGTCATTGAGTCTTAGCCGTGAAGGATAGAATTGGTGGAACTAAGGAATATAGCTCGTCTGAGCACTTTCCATGGAAATAACGATAGAGCAGCGAGAGGCTTGTAATGTCTCGTCTCTGATAAAGTGGTTGTGGGGGTGGACAATAATTCATCACCCACAAGGACGCGGAGACGCTTTTAAACTCTATCGAGATTGGAAAGTGCCAATCTTCAACCTATATATGGCAACAGTACTCCATTTTCGGCATGGTCCGACACTTTTCAAAGGCAGATGGTAACTGGGAGTGTCAGGTACTTGCTAGTGCGAACATGTGAAACCGACCATTTTTTCAACATCTTTATCGATAGATCGTATGTACTAGTTTCATTTGAGGTCTTAAATGCCAGTAAGCGATCAAGGCCCCGGGTCTCCCTGAGAGAACACCACCTCATCGCGATTGGTGATATGTCACTGGTTTAATTCTCGAGGCATTCAATGTAACCAGCCAGATTTATCGATAGATCGTATGTACTAGTTTCATTTGAGGTCTGAGCTGAGTTTAAATGCCAGTAAGCGATCAAGGCTCCGGGTCTCCCTGAGAGAACACCACCTCATCGCGATTGGTAACATGTCATTGGTTTGATTCTCGAGGCATTGAATGTAAACAACCAGATTGTTCGCCATTGAGCTTTTAGAGGTCGATCAGAGGAGATACCAGTTCTTAAATTCTGCATAAGCAAGGGGCCGGTGGAGGTAAATCTCGATTATGGAGATACGCATGTTAGATCAAGATTGTAATATTCTGGGAACTATCATCTCGGGAGAGATGTGGGGAATGAAGACTGAGACTGTACCAATAGTAATCGGAGCACTGGGTCTCGTGATAAAAGGAATGGACAATTTTACTAACAATATCCCAGGGGACATTACATATAAATTGCCTAAAAGATCGCCCTACTCGGGACATCCCATATACTGAGAAAAGTGCTATCAATTAAATAACAATTCTCCTTATAGTGCCTAAGGACCATAGTTTGGACCCGGCTCAAATCAGAAAACACAACACACAAACAATAATAATAATATGTGTGGAATGAAGACTGAGACTGTACCAGTAGTAATCGGAGCACTGGGTCTCGTGAGGAAAGAAATGGACAATTTTATTAACAATGTCCCAGGTAACAACAACATACAAAGGATCTGCGGTCCATATAACATCAGGACAATCTTTAAAAGCTGGGCGACACTTCGCAGATATCTCTCCCGAGTAAGACCCCCTTCCATAGAGGAGAACATGGCTAAAGACTGTGCGTACGCTATCCCGTGCAGCTGCGGAAAGAAATATAAAGGGGAGACAAGCCGCCCCCTTAAGGTAAGGTTTGAAACCTTACCTTAAGGGGGCGGCTCTAACACGAGGGGAAGTAGAAAAATCAGGCGTGGCTGACCACATATGGAGAGAAAGTGTCATACCTGAACGTACCTATTCTATTATTAATAGACTCTCCCACATATAATAAGTAGTAGTAGTAGTAGTAGCGGTCGCCAGTTGGGCTCAGTGGTGTTGAGCGAGTCAGTCGATGTCGGACATTGAAGTATCAACCATCACAACTAGATTGCTGTGTCATTAAATCTTATTTCAAATTCCTAACGTTTTGTACGTCGGACCCTTTTTAGGACCGACTTATTGAAATACAAGCCTCCACTGTAAAAACTACTCTACAACAGAAACGGAAGATCACCGCCCTCTGTGGGATCAAGTTGAGATCATAGACAAAGAATACTAATGGAAAATTCGTAAACTTAAGAAATCAGCACATATGCTAGGCCACAAACATCTCCTGAGCCGACCAAGCATAGAAATGAATACAGTATGGGAACCAGTCATATGGAGTGTCAGAGAAAAGCAATAATAATAGCAAAAATCCAATATGAGTTCTGGTAAAAACATGTATTTATAACAGCAGAAATTGCAATATGAGCACTGGTAAAAAATGATTGCTGAAGACATTAGGTTTATAATACCCAGAAATTCATACACAGATGTACTCAAGGACACATGGCACAATGGATAAATGCGTTGGTTAGATCCAGTGACAGGGCCTAAAAGACCCGGTTATGGCAGTGGAGAATTTGGAGAGGGGAATTAACCGGAGATAACTGAGAACTGACATCCATTAGACATGGCACGTGGAACTAGAACAGTCTAACCCAGTGAGCGAAATAAAGGGTTCAGTTCGACATTCCAACCACCTGAAGAAGGCCGGAGCGTACAACGGCCGAAACGTTGTTATAAATATGACGACAAAGATGAGGACAATAGTCCGAATAATGTGAATAATAATAATATGTGTGGAATGAAGACTGAGACTGTACCAATAGTAATTGGAGCACTGGGCCTCGTGAGAAAAGGAATGGACAATTTTATTAACAGTATCCCAGGAGATATTACATACAAGTTGCCTAGAAGATCGTCCTAATCGGGACATCCCAAATACTAAGAAAACTGCTATCAATTAAATGACAATTCTCCTTATAGTGCCTGAAGACCATAGTTTGGACCCGGCTCAAATCAGGAAACATAACACACAAACAATAATAATAATATGTGTGGAATGAAGACTGAGACTGTACCAGTAGTAATCGGAGCACTGGGTCTCGTGAGAAAAGGAATGGACAATTTTATTAACAGTGTTTCAGGTAACATCATACAAATTGCTCAGAAAATCGCCCTGCTAGGAACATCCCATATATTAAGAAAACTGCTATCAATTAAATGACAATTCTCCTATAGTGCCTAAGGACCATAATTTGGATCCAGCTTTATAAGTTACAAAACAGGAAATATAATATATTCAAATAATAATAATAATAATTTTACTATATTATACACTCGGAATTTTTGTTCCTTTTTTTGTCTATAAGGTATGTAATGTTTCGATGTATAGACTCATCTCCCTTGCACTAGTGTGGCGTAAACGGTAAGAATTTGGCTTTAGAATTTGTTTTGCACTTCTTTCTGTTAATCTAGGTCTCGTTCATAGCACCATACCGTCCATTTCTTTTTTTTAACGATTGTTTTTAAGTTGAGAGGAAAGTGTTCGTTTCTTTCCCAGTCGTTTTTGTAGCCTTGAGAGGCATTAAAAGTTTTCGGGGAAAGAAACCAGTAACGTCAACACCACACCTCATCAGGCCATCCCATAATTATCTAACAACTTTAATATCTGTTTTTTTTTTTTTGTTACTGGAAAAAAATCTCAAAGTTTATTGATTGCCCTGCTGCCGTTTTAAAAGCAGCAAGAGTTCTGTTCCTTTCAAAAAAAAAAAAAAAAAAAAAAAAGGCAAGAAAATAAAACAAATAAACAGGTACGGACAATGTTTCGTACATTTTCGTTATTTTGAGAACTAGGGGTCTGCGTCCTCTCATAAAAACAGTTACCGGAGACTCCTGATGTGCCTTTCTACTCGGGTTTCTTGAGACTCAGCACTTTGCAGAAAGCCGAGTGATTTTAAAGGCTGACCGAATCTAGCTTTCAAAACGCTATTTTGAATTAAAGAAACGCCGTAACAGTTCTTCTTCTTCTTCTTCTTTTTCTTCTTCTTCTTCTTTATGTGCTGTGTTCCTCAGTTGGCGATCATGGCTCTCCACAATTTCCTGTGCTTTGTAGCTCTTAATAAATTTTGTCTTTTTCTTATCTCATCTAAACCTTGTTCCAACAACCATTTACTCAAGCTCATTCTTCTTCTTCTTCTTCTTCTTCTTCTTCTTCTTCTTCTATGTGTCGTCTCCCTTCAGGATGTAGGCTATCATGGCTCTCCACAATTTCCTCTCATTTGTAGCTCTTAATAAATTGTCTTTTTGTCATCTCTCCTAAACCTTGTCCCGCCATCCTTTTGTTCAAACTCATTCTCCTTCTTCTACGTGCCGTGTCCCTTCAGGACATAGGCGATCATGGCTCTCCACAATTTCCTCTCATTTGTAGTTCTTAATAAATTGTCTTTTTGTTATCTCTGCTAAACCTTGTTCCGCCATCCATTTGTTCAAACTCATTCTTCTTCTTCTATGTGCCGTGTCTTATGAGTGTCAATTTTTCCATACCCTCTTTTCTCATTATGTGTCCTCGAAATTTCAACTGACACATTTTATTCGAAGTATAATATCTCATTCCATTTTTAAAAATTTCGTTGGTTAGATGCGTTGTCCATGGTATTCTCAGCATCTTTTGTAGAACAACACCTCTGTTAATTCAATTTTCCCGTTCATTTGGGAAGAAATTGTCCCGTATTCATAGGAGGTCTGATATTAGAAAGTAGACAACTTTTTTTTCTAATAAAAATTCCCTGTATATTAGTGCATTGCTTCGTTTTTAGAAGTTATGTTTTTTTTACACTAATGCACCGTCAGATTTCGCTGTTAAAACATGTATTTAAATTTAAATCTCTAGATATTTAGATTGCTGTACTGACTGAGATAGATAGATAGATAGATAGATAGATAGATAGATAGATAGATAGATAGATAGATGTGAACAGGCTGAGATAGATAGATATGAACAGACTGATAGATAGATAGATAGATAGATAGATATGAACAGACTGAGATAGATAGATAGATAGATAGATAGATAGATAGATAGATAGATGTGAACAGGCTGAGATAGATAGATATATGTGAACAGGCTGAGATAGATAGATATGAACAGACTGATAGATAGATAGATAGATAGATAGATAGATAGATAGATAGATATTATTAAGCAAAGCTAGAAAATCACTTTTTACTTCAATAAAAAATGACCAATACCTCTAATAGAACAAATAACAGACATATAATAAGTCTTTGAACCTTTTACATATATACTGACCCTTCCTGGCAGGCACGGTGGAATAGTATATATATATATATATATATATATATATATATATATATATATATATATATATATATATATATCGAGAGAGAAAGAGAGTGAGATAGATAGATAGATAGATAGATAGATAGATAGATAGATAGATAGATAGATAGATAGATAGATAGATAACGGCTCGGATTGAGGAATAGGAAAGCCGAGTTCAAATAATACCCTTGGCAAAGGTATGAATTCTATTCTTCTTCCCCCAGCTATGGGTAAATAGCAGGACAGACCGGGTTCTATAGCCTTGGATGGCAACTGGTCTACTACAGAAAGAAATGACAACCTACTGCAGGAAAAAATCTGCCTCGTCAGTCATATATCGGAAGACCTCCACTCGATGGTCAAAAGTTTTGATGACGTCTCTGCATAGTTGCTCGTCGATCTCACCAACATGCCTTATTATCTCATCCTTCAGCTGTTGAATTGTTGTTGGCTTGTTGGCATAGACCTTACTTTTGAGATGACCCCAAAGGAAGAAATCTAAAGGCGTCAAGTCGCACGATTGTGGTGGCCAATTGACTTTGCTGTTTTGAGAGATGATGCGACCTGGGAACTTCTCATTCAAATTCTGTTTGAACGTCCATTTTTGTAATGGGCTTCGATAACTTTAACACGTTATTTGATTTTTAATCTTTCCATGGTTGAAAATACCAAAGACTTAAGTTGTTAAATCTGAAAGAAAATGAAAAAAAATTATTAGACACTTAAACTTAATTCACATTTAAAATCGCTCCAAGTTATTGGAACAGCCTTTATAATAACTTCAAATGGACTGTTAATAATTGGACAAATCCTCCCCTGATTATTTACAGAGTTATCTGAACATTGTTATTATTTACAAATGGCAAATTTCAGACTGTGCTTACGTCATTGAAAACTGCGGACTATTTACGAATTGTGGAAAAATAACTGGAACAATTATACGCGTTTATCGATGACGTGAACACAGACTCAAACTTGACATTTGTAAATATACAACAAGTACAGGTAACGCTTTATTAAGCCAGGGATCGGTTTGTGACTGTATGAAAATGATCCCTTTTTAAAATGATAAAAATAGTAATTTTTGATTTTGACAAATGTAGAAAAAGGTTGAGTCAATCTTAAAAAATGACTCCACCTGATTAAAGCCAGTGTTTTTATTTTATTTTATTTGTATTTTTATGAGCGGACGTTAATTTAAGAGCTGCTCCGTTTGCAGAGTAGATATGACGTCCATTGACACAGAAAAGCATGTTTGACAGGTAGAAAGAGTGAGAGAAAGGTAGACCGACCGGGAAACATAGGTGAAAAAAAAAAGAATGACAATTGTAAATAAAGGTTAAAATATAGGTTGCGAGACAAATGTACAGTAAACAAGTAGAATAAGCCTGATAAACACAGGTAGATAGACGTTTACGCTAAGCAAGCAGGTAGATAGATGTAAAGGTCGGTGAAACAAGGCAGGCGAAATTACTACTACACTATCCACTCTCTTCCGGCAACTCTTATAGACCAGAATGTTTTGAAATTTACAGATATTTACTATGTGAATCTGCCATTAGAGATTTTCGGTTCGATTTCATAAAGTGATTTAGATCAGGTGTCGGCAACCCCACCGATCCCCGGGCTGTATCCGGGCCGTGAAGGATTTTTGTCCAGCCCGCCAACTTAACAACTGGACACTAATTATCTAATTAAATTGTTGAGTAAGCGGCAGAAAAATATCAGTTGATGTTAAGTAACTTACAATACGACGGATTTTTTAAATCGAAATTTCATTCCGAATTCACTGCTGACCTCTACGAGAAATATGTTTTGCCAAACGGAAAATATAAAAGCCTGTTGAATAATACGAAAATGATGGTATCTTTATTTGGAAATACATATGCTTGGGAACAACATTTTTACGAGAATGAAATATACTAAAAGTTGTTTTTGAGGCATTCAAGTTAACCAGCCATTTCCTGTCCCAGTCAGCAACCGATTGGAGGTCCTTTTCGACCAGCAGCCATGTTAGTTTTGTCAGCAATACCAGATTTGCTATTTAGGCAGGAGTAAATAATAGTGTCGTCTGCATAGATGCCTACTTGGAAACAGATGACATCGGGAAGATCGTTAATGAAGATAAGGGACAGGATAGAGCCTTGGGTAATCCCTGCGTTCGTGAGAATGGAACTGGGGGAGAATCCGTTAATCCATTTGTGGAACAAATGACAGAGAAAATGCAAAGAATTTTTGAAATCAAAATTTCCTTCCGAATCCACTGTCGACTTCTACAAGAAATATGTTTTGCCAAACAGAAAATAGAAAAGCCTATTAAATAATACGAAAATTATGGTATCATTATTTTCACAATGTCATGTCTATTACTATATTAATTAATTTATATTAATATTTTAATATTTTATTTTATTTTTCAGTTCAGAACTACATTCCTTATACCAAGACACGGCAACTTCCGGCCGCCGAGCCATATCCGATTTGCCTGCTGACTTTTACAAGAAATAGGTTTTGCCAAACGGAAAATCTATTGAATAATGCGAAAATGACGGTATCATTATTTGTAGGAAGATATACCTGTGAAGAACTTTTTTCAAAAATGAAATATACAAAGAGTCGTTTAAGAAGAACGTTCTGTGATGACAAAATGGATGATGTTTTGTTCTTGTCATTGACAAATATTTCACCTGATGTGGAGAAGTTATCAAACAATAAAGAAAAACAAATGTCTCATTAAATAAAGCTGGCCAACACGATTTTTGGTGCCAAGAAAAAAAAAACAAACATTTTAGCTAATTTGATGGTGCTGATTCCGAAAATGACCTTAGTTTTTCATGGTTAGCTACCGTTTTTGCTGTATCGAAATTACTCATTTTTGGAAAAAAGATTAATTTACGATCTTGGCTGATCGCAAAATGTAGTTATTAAAGGCCGTAGAAATCCATCAATTTCCAGGTAAGCCGATCAATTTATGTCATCCACCTGAGATAAACTATTTTTAAAATCAAAATTTAATTCCAAATCCACTGCCGACTTCTACAAGAAATATGTTTTGCCAAACGGAAAATATAAAAGCCTGTTAAATAATGTGAAAATGATGGTATCTTTATTTGGAATTACATATGCTTGGGAACAACATTTTTTCTAAAATGAAATATATTAAAAGTCGTTAAAAAACAAGATTGGGTGATGACCACATGAATGATGTTTTGCTCCTGTCATCGATAAATATTTCACCTGAAGTGCCTCATTAAATAATTTGCCATTTCTAACTGTATTTTGTTTGTAGTAAGGAATTTGAATTTTTGTTGTTTGTTAGTTGTTATTCTGTTAATAACAAAATAAATAAACGCTTTGTCTGCGCGGTCAGCAATAAATGCAGTTTCCGGCTATACCTACGTGACAGCTCTCGTCATAACAGGTGCCTATTTGTTACTGCTTCGTAACAAATGTAAGCGAGTACTTGAAGAAGGTAAGTCTTTGGTTCTGACAGAATGAGGTACCTCTAAAAACGTTGGATCTTGTGATTACTGGCGGTTCTATAATAGGGTATTAAATATGTTTAAGGTCTCTATTCCTCTTCTCTTCAATCAATATGAGGTGTTATCATCCTCTGCTGATAAGGCTGAATGCTTTGCCCGTAAATTCTCCTCAAACTCTACTCTTGACTCACCCAGAATATCCCTGTCTAATTTCCCTCCTAGAATTGAATCTCTGTTGAGTGATATGCATATAAAGCCTTCCATGGTTTCTGCTATCGTCTCTAACCAAGGTGCCCACATTGTGTTTCTGTAATAATCATTAAGATGTGTGTTCGTGAACTGGCTCCTGTTCTCTCTAAATTGTACAATAAATGCCTCACTGCTTCCTGCTTTCTTGCCTGCTGGAAGAAATCTGGTGAACTGCCGGACCCTTCCAGCTATCGCCTTTCTAACTCTTTCTGGGAAAACCCATGAGGGCCTAATCAATGCTGAATTGATTCATCATCTCTCATCACAGGACCTTTTCCCAGACAAGCAATACTGCTTTTGTTTCTCCAGATCCACTGCTAATGTCTTAATGATAATTGCGGAAAGATGCTCTAAACGGTGAAGCCCGGACTGTAGCGCTGGTAATTTCAAAAACTTTTAACAGAGTCTGGCATTCAGGTCTTCTCCTCAAGCTGGAAAGTTACAGTGTATCGGGTCACGTTTTAGAGCTGATCCAGTCGTTGCTATCAAATCGTGAAATGAAAGTTATCCTGAATGGCCTCTCGTCTACATCCTTTCGTACTCACGCGGTTGTCTCCCAGGGCTCCATCCTTGGTCCTACGCTGTTTTTTAATCTTCATCGACGACCTTCCGATGACATCAGCTCCCAACTTGGCATCTACGCTGACGACACTGCCATTTACTAAGGCTGATCAGTTAGACAACGGTTAAAATGGCAGCTGATGTACAAAACGAGCTCAAGGCCGTCGTTAACTGGGGCAAATGATGGCTTTTCTATTTTAACGCCTCCAAAACTAAAATTCTCTCCATTAATACCCTGAAAGACCCCTCACTGCCTTCCATCAGTATGGCTGATGCTAACCTCCATGAAATTGACTTGTTGCGCCTTCTCGTGCTCACGTTCTCAGCTGACATAAAGTGGAAAGACTACATTGAATCCATTGCCAGATCAGCTGCTAAGAAAGAATTTTTTCTCGGTTATCTTGCATATCTATAAGTCTACCATCCTTCCATGCTTTGAATATTGCTGAAACGGTCTGGTGCTCCTGTTATATTTTTCTTGATAAAATCCAAAGAGGAATCTATCTTGAATCTATATATTTATAAGTCTACCATCCTTCCATGCTTTGAATATTGCTGTCACATATGGTCTGG